CAGCTCTTGCAGTGGTCACTGGGTAGAACAGCAACACAAGCTCCTTTGTCCCAGCAGTGTTGACATGATGTGAGAAATCTGTGTATTAGGAAAGAACTTCAGCCTCTCTGGCACACTCCCCTTCAGACTGCTCTACCCCAGAGAGTGAATTTTTTGTTTTCATATCCCATCAAAGTGTTACAATTTTGCATTTTTTTCCTTTTCTAAAACAAAATAAAATCATTCCTTTTATCTTGTCAATAATCCAATTATTTCTTCACATTGTTTTTTTTTTTCAATGTACATTGACAGAAGCTTTTACTCTATATGTTATAAGCACCTAAGATTCAGAGCATAAGGGACAGTACTCTCAGTGAATATTCACTGTGGTGGAAGAAAAGGGAATACAACTTCAACAGCAGGTGATTCAAATTCTAACACAAGCACCTGCAGATTTCTGTAGGCAAACTGAGCCAGAGACTTCTTTGGAGAGAGAAAATTAACATTGAAGCTTGGTGCTCTCTAGGGATGGAAGCAATGCTGTTTTTTTTGTGGGGTTTTTGTCCGTTACCTATTTTAACAGGTTTATTGAGATATAATTTACAAACTGTGTAATTCCCCCATTTAAAGTATATAATTACTGGCTCTTAGTGGATTCATAAATAGGTATATGTAATACCACACTCAACTTAAGAATATTATACCACCAAAAAACCCTTATACTGTTTAACCATCACCCTAACCTTCCAGGCTTCCCAAGTCAAGAGAATCACTAAGTTGCTTTCTTTATCTTTGTATATGTATTTCCTATTTTAAACATTTCACTTAAATAGAATCATCTGGTATGAGGTGTGATCAAAGTATACACTATATTTAAATTTTTAAAAATTATTACAGTAAAAGATATTTTGCCATTAATCCCCTCAAAATACTTCCCTTCCCTTTGAATACTTATGCCACCAATTTTGTCTTTCTCTTTCTTTCTTTCTTTCTTTCTTTCTTTCTTTCTTTCTTTTTCTTTCTTTCTCTTTCCTTCTCTTGTCTTTTTGAGACAGAGTTTCACTCTGCAGTTCAGGCTGGCTTAAACTCTCTTCATAGCCCAGACTGGCCTCGAACTCTCAGTGATCCTCCTGCCTCAGCCTCCCAAGTGCTAGGATTACAGGTGTGTACCACCATGCCTGGCTTAATTTTATCACTATCTGAAGCAGTTATGAAAGACTTCTTTAATGAATGTCTGCATGAGGTGTGCTCAGAAATACAGTGAATGTAGGTGCTGAGTGCCATCCAATGGATAGAAAGCCTTTTAAAAAATGTTAGTGGGGGCTGGGGATTTAACTCAGCGGCACAGCGCCTGGCAAGCGCAAGGTCGTGAGTTTGATTCCCGGTATCGGAAAAAGAAAACCAAACCAAACCAAAACAAAACAAAATGTTACTGCATCCTCGTCTATCCTATTCACCAGATTTGCCACTGTGCAACGTTTGGTTCTTCTCCAAAGCCAAAACGACTAAGAAAGGTCAACATTTTGAATCAATTCAGGACACGGAAGCAGCCATGGAAGCACAACTAAACACATTCACGATAAAGAACTTCTAGATGTGCTTCTGAAAGTGACATGAACAATAGGAAGCAAGGGGAAGTGTTTTGAGGGAGATTAACAGCACTGTTTTTTTTTACTGTAATATATATATTGTAAAAATTCTCTGTAGTTTTCAGCCATGCCTCATATAGCACTTTGTGGTATAGCTTCTTTCACTTATGTTTTCAGAATTTATCTATGTAATAGCATGTAAAATACTTTTTTCCTTTTTTTTTGATATTAGGGATTAAACCCAGAGCCTTTACACTGAACTACATCCTTGGTCCTTTTTAAAAAATTTTGAAACAAGATCTTGCTAAGTCACTAAGTTTCCCTGGCTGGGTTTAAGCTTGAGATCCTCCTACCTCAGCCTCCCAGAGCGGTGGCATGACGGGCATGCACCATGACATCTGGTTTACTTCATTTCCTTTGAATGGCAAGTGATATTTTATTGTACAGAGATAGCACCTTTTACCTATTTTTAGTACAATAAACATTTAAATAATTTCTACACTTTGCCTATAATGAATAATGTTGCTATAAATATTTATATGCAAGTTTTTGTGTTGGCATAAATTTTTTGTCCTCCTTGGGAAATGTCTAGGAGTAAAATTGCTGAATCATGTGGAAATTCTGTTTACCTGATGGAGAAGCTGCCAGACTGTTTCTGAACTGGCTGCATCATTTTACATTCTGGCCAGCAAGATAGGAGGTTTTAGTTTCTCCACAGCCTCACCACCTTCATTACTATCTGTCTTTTGATTAGAGCCATTCTGGTGAGTGTGAGGTGGAAATTCATTAAGGTAGGACCTTTGTTTTTAACCAAATTTGTTATTTCCAATATCTAGGGAATATAATAGCTATCTTAACTTTTAGAACTGAGGAAGAAGAGAAAGACATATATAGGCAGGAGGAAAGGAACATACAAAGGCACCGAAACAAAAGAAAATAGGTTATATTCCCTGAATTATTGTAAACTTAATATGAGGAAGCATAGCTCTATGTGGAAGATGTCAGGAGATGAAATTGAAGATAAAGTCAATTAATCAACAAACATCAAATGCTGTCATATACCAGGCAGTGTTTCTTGCACTGGCATACAGCAATGAGACAGATTAAGTCTCTGCCTATGAGGAAGCCTGAGAGTAGAAAATATTAAAATAAGGAAGTCAGAAAATTGTATGAGTAAAAGCCTTTGAAGAAAATTACATAGTCTTGCATTTTAAGGAGTAACTTAGGAGTTAAGATCAAGTTAGCTGAAGTGGGAGAGAAGATGGCATTTAGACAGAGATCTGAATGGTCAATAATCCAACAATTAGAGTTAGTTGTGAGATGCAAACTGTCATGCCAGCTACTTGGGAGGCTGAGGGATGAGAATCACTTGAAACCAGAAGTTCTAGGCCAGGCTGGGCAGTGTAAAGAAATCCCCTCTCAAAAAATTACTCAGGTCTATGAAGCTCTAGTCTAAGAATCTCCAGTCAGAGGAAATGGCAAGGGCAAGGTTTCCAAGGTAGAAATGCATTGAGCTGAGGAAGAAGAAAAAGACATATATAGGCAGGAGGAAATCAAGAGAAAGCCAACTTAAACCAAAATATATAGATTTAAAAATGGGAGATGTATTTCAATTAGAAATCTGTTAGTACACAAGCCCAGGTGTCTTTCATTCAGCAGTGCAATGGTGACATCAAAGACCCAGGAACCTGCCATTTTACTACTTTATATGAATTATATGAATTGGCAATGGGCCTTTTTTTGGGATGTGTAATTTGTCACATTTTATTTATCCCACTATTACCAAATTACCAAGAACTCTTGTCCTAATTGAAATTCTTCATACCAGGCTTATACCCAAATAGGCTTCAAGTGCTTGGCTCCATTTACTACCACTCACTGATGTTAACTGAACACCTACTACATGCCAAGCTCTATGTCTGATACTTTATATGTATTTTTCTTTAAATTAATGCATTTTCTGCAGTTCTCACATCAACCAGACTGGGCACATTAGTTTTAACTAATAATTTTATACACTAAAATTATTCCAACTCAAGGACATTAGCTCTTTAAGGTTATATACCTACTGGGCACAACATTCAACATTCAATCTGAAGTCTGCCCAACTATGAGGCCTAGCCGTTCTCCACGGTCCCACACTGTAAAGTTGTCTTGGAAGGATGACAACAGTTATCAGCCCTCCTCCGCTCAGCCCAAGCCACGTGGCCTTGTGGTCAGGCAGCAGATCCCATCCTTTTCTTTGAAGTGACTGTCCAGGAATGGTCCAGTCAGACTCAATTCTAGGCCTTGAGGCAGTGAGGCAATGGGCTTTTATTTGCCCCACTTGCCTTCAAATATGGCATAGGTTGCATTCAAAAAGAATGGTCAGGTTCATGAGGTATCCTCATATTCCTCTTTGCCTTACAAATTTTTTACATTTTATAGTTTATGAGCCTTGATAGGTAATTATTTTTTCTTAGTGGAATGTGTATAATCCTTAATTATGAAATGGCAAGTGATTATAAACTATTTTAAGCTCCACCTATTACTCTATGACAAGGACTATCAATTGTCAAACATAAAGCTAAACTACATGGTTTTCTCTTTTTTTAAAAGGTAAGTATTCCATATTTGCTGACCTTTTCTTCAATGACAAGTGTCATTGTCTTCATCACTTTTCTTGTTGCTGAGACAAAATACCTGACACCCAAAGTTAAAGGAGGAAAAGTTTATTTGGATTACAGTTTGTAAAGGTTTCAGTCCACAGGTGGCTGACTCCATGGCAGGGTGGCACGTCACAGAGGGACACTGTGGAGGAGAAACAGTTCATTGCAGGTTGAAGAGAGCAAAGGCAAACAAGTGCCTCTCTGCCCTTTATATTTTATCCAGGCTGCTTAGGGCAGGGAGTACCCATAGCCTTAATCCTAGTGTCCTTGGGTTTAGCATTGCAACATGAGTCAGTACACGGGCTGTAGATCCAGCCACCTCTGAAAAAACCCCACCTATGACTGCATGAGGCTTTGGAGTGGCATGTAGACGTAGTCATAATGGTCATTAATTTTAGCACCTAGCATATATTGTTTTTAAATTTTTTGACTGACACATAAAATTGTACATATTTTACAGTACAATGTGGTAATTCCATACAAGTATACGATGCATAATAATCAAGTAAGGGTAATTAACATTCCCTTTCCCTTAAATATTCACCATTTCTTTGTGTTACCTTGCAGATATTTTTGAGAAAATAAACTCAAATTTCTTCTTTGAGGATAAAGTGGTATTTTATTAATGAAATAAATTTAAGACAGAGGGTGACCATTTTTAGAATTTGGAAACATTTCCATTATTTGATTTTCATAGCTGAAAATGTTATCACTCATACAGCTTCCCTATTTGAATACCTTAAAATTGTGAAAACTTTGCCAACATTCAAAACACATTCTACAGGGCTTATTCAGCTTTAAACGCATCTGTTGAAAATATATAAATGCAGAGTGCTCTTATTTGTTTCCAAGACGAAGATATTTTCATCCCAAATTTATATGAAAGACTCTGTTGGAAGATGAAGACTGAGAAATGGTGCTCATGATTTAGTAAGTATATCTAATCAAGCATATTCCCTTTGGAAAGTTATGCCATTTGGATCTCTATAGTATTGTGATATGTAATTTTCATTTATGATGACCATTAGAACTAAGGATTAAAATAAATGGAATTTAAAACCAAATTGTTGACTCACATAAAATGTTAAATTTTAAAAATACATGTTATTTTCACTTAAAATTATTATATTTTATAATATTAATTTTATATTAATATCAATGTAGCATTAAATATTAATTTTATAAGAGCAAAAATGCCTGTAACAAGGAAAAGGAAATACTTAGAAATCTTTATTTCATCTTTATCTATTTTGGGGGGATGTAATTTACACATTATGTAATTCACTTATTCAATTGTACAGTTCAATAATTTTTTTAGCATATTTCAATAAAGTATGTGTAATTGCAACTATATTCAATTTAGAACATTTTTATTGCCCCCCCTTATAAAAGCCTCATGCTAATTAGAAGTCATTCTCATCTCCACAAAATGCTCTGTCCTAAGCAAATCCTTACTTACCATCTCTAGAAATTTGTCTCTTTTGGATGTCTTATATAAATGGAATCATATGATAGGTGGTCTTTTGCTACTAGCTTCTTTTACATAACATAATGTTTTCAAGGTTCATTCATGTTGTAATATGCAGCAATATTTTATTCTTTTTAATGGCTAAATAATAGGGATATTCTATATTCTGTTTATCCATTTTTCCATTGGTAGATATGTGGGATGTTTCCATCTCTTGGTTATTGTGAATATTGGTTTCTATGAACATTCATATATAAGGTTTTTATCACATTAGTTTTCAGTTATTTTGATCGTATACTTAGAAGCTGAATTGCAGTATCATATGGCAATTTTATGTCTAACCTTGCAAGAAAATCCAAGACCACTTTAAAATTTTACCTGCAATGAATAGCAATAATCCACATCCTTGTCATTATCTTTCCTTTCTGTTCTTTTCTTTTTTCTGATATATCTTGTCTATTTCTGTTTATTTGTGTCAGTCAAGGTTTTACTAGAGAAACAGATACAACACAAGGTATACAAACGTATAAGAGATTACAAGTTTGGCTTACAATGGTCAGTCACAGAGTGGGATGAGGAAGCGTGCAGAGGGTGTCTGCACACTGGAGGCTTCTGTGCAAGTCCGTATCAGGAGGTTGACAGGTCTGCGGTGGAACGCTGAAGAATCTACACCAAAGGGTTGAAGGACCCAAGGCAGAAGCCCGAGTCTGCACTAGAAGCCAGGAGATGATGTCCAAACTGAAGGCAAAGGTGAGCTCCTCCAAAGAACAGAAGCGTCTTTTATTGTATCCCAGTGAGTAAGAAGTGACATCTCATCAGTTTCATTTGCTTTCTTTTTTTTTTTAAATTATGAGGAGTGAATTCAAATCCTTCACATTCAAATCCTCCACACCTCTGGCCTTTTAAAATGTTTTTAGTTTTGAGATAGGTTCTCACTAAGTTACTAGGTTGCCTAGGCTGGGCTCAAACTTGCCATCTCCTGCCCCAGCCTCCTAGAGTGCTGAAATTACAAATGTGTGCCACCACAGCCAGGTTGCTTACAATTCTACAATGACTAATGATGTTGAGCATATATTGTGCCTATTGGTTACTTGTATATCCTTTCTTTTAAAAGTCTGTATCATTTGCCCATTTTTAAATTTAGGTTGTCTTTTCGTTGTTAAATTGCGAGAGTTCTTTGTGTATTCTAGGTACTAACCTCATCAGGAAATTTACCATTTTCCTATTCTGTGGGTTATCTTTTACCACTCTTCATGGTATTTTTACCTTTTTTTTTTTTTTTTTTTTTGGTTTTTCTCCGGTACCGGGAACTGAACTCACGACCTTGCGCTTGCCAGGCAGGCACTTTTTGCCGCTGAGCTAAATCCCCAGCCCCCACTCTTCATGGTATTATTTGATGCACAGAAGTTTTCTGTTTTGATGAGTTCACTTTATTTTTATTTCTTTTATTGCTTGTGCTCTTGGTTTTACATATAAGAAACTATTGCCAAATCCAATTATGAAAACTCATCCTTATACTTTCTTTCATTGTTTAAGCTCTTACTTTTAGATTTTTATTTGTTTTAAATTAATTTTTATCAATGATGTGATATAAAGTTCAACTTCGTTCTTTTGCATGTAGTTAATCTAGTTGTCCCAGTATTTTCTGTTAAAAAGATTATTTCCTCATTGGATAGTTTTGCCGCCCTTCTAAATGCTAGCTGACTCAGAGGCTTAGTTTTGGGCTTTCAATTCCATCCCACTGATCCTTATGTCAATACCTACCATCTTGATTTGTACGCATTTTGAAATCAGGAAGAGTGAATGCTTTTGCTTTGTTCATCATTGTGCGGATTGGTTAGGCTATCTGAAAAGACGACTGTACTGCGAGTCCACTCACATGACACTATGGAAAAGTCAAAAGAGTCAACAAAGAGTAATCAAACAAAGAGTAGTTGTTAGAGATAAAGGACGTAGGGGCATTGAATAAGTAAAATACAGGAAATGTTTTTAAAGTCATTAAACTATTCCATGTGACATTGTAATAATGGATACATGACTCTACATATTTACCAAAACTCATAGAACTTCGGAAACATGCAGTAAACTTTCATAATGTATGCCAATTTAAAAACCACTCAGAAAAACAGGAATCAATAGACTCCAGACCATGGCTGAAGAATCCAATCGTATTGCAGTTATGGTACATGGAACAAACTTGCTCAGTGGAGTGGGGAAACTGCAGGAAGAGAGGCTGATGTAAGTAATTTTGAAAATGAACTCTGAACTAGTGAAAGCAAAAGAATATAAACTCTATCCTTTAATTGATACTTTGTTTTGCACAGGAGTACAGATAATTGGAAACCACTATCTGTATAGACTGGAACTGAGCAATTAGGGAAATAGATAGGTGGCAGATGGCAGAAGCTAGGTTTCCTACTATTGAAGTGGGAAGTTACAGATAAATGAGGGCAGATGTCTAGAATGGTCCATATGGTAATAAGGGGTTGTGGATATCAATACAAACCCATGTTTAGCTTAATATAGATACAGATGACTGTGTATAAAAGTATTTATAAATATGTATGTATTCAGATACGATTATGCAATCATACATTTCCTTACTCTGTCATTGTATAGAATTTAGAAGCAACAATACCTGGTAGCAGTGAGCATATGTAGCATCAGATTTTACTTTCTCCAGTACAAAGGAACAAGATCTCCTTAGAAAAATGAGTGTTTCTAGAACTGGAAGTGGAAATATACAAAACAAACCTAGAGCATCTTGTAGTGCCAGAGAGGAACCCCACCTCCTGTACATACACATCAAAGGAACAGAAGTCAACTGTGGTGAATGTTGTTAGAATTGGAGCCACAAAATAGTGTTGGATTATGAGCAAAAGTACAAAAAAATTATCCATGAGTTCATACTGATACAAACAAGCAATTAAATGCATAAATAAATTATGAAAGAGGGCCAAACCTCCCCTTACAAGTATTATAAAAAATTTACAAGTATGTAAATTCTCTGTCTTTAAGGAGGTGGAGCATAACCTCCCACCCCAAGCGTGGGCTTCACCTAGTGATTTCATTCCCAAGAACGTAGTATAGAAAAGGGGAAAAAAATCATAAGACACTTTACAGTAGAGAAACATGTCAAAACTACCTCAGCCAAATGATCATCATTGACAGGAAAATTTGGGTTGATAAGATATGATAGGAATGCTGCCTTAACTCTCTGGTCTTCCTCTCAGAAACGCAAAACTTCTGTTTAATCATGAGAAAAACACTGGGTAAATCCTGATTGAGAAATGGTCTACAAAAATGACGAGTGATTTTCAAAATATTAAGGGTCATCAAAAGCAAGGAAGACCTGAGAAACTGTTATGGCCCAGAGGACCTAAGAAAACCTGACACATTTAGTGTGGTATCTCAGATGTGTTCCTGGACTAGAAATGGGAATTATATAAAGTTTATGGAAATCTGAATAAATTATGGATTTTAGTTAATAATAGCAAATCAAACAATTAACTAGAAAGTGAAAGATTCCTTAAGATTAAAAGACCTTTACCTTCTGGTGCAACATAGTGCCAGCTCTTTCCCTGACTTGGTTCCTAGCTAGAAAAATTTTTTCTGTGCCTGTTTTTCTCTCTGTCTACAGTTGGTCTTTTAGACTATTTTGCCTGGAACATTTCACTTTGTCTCCTAAGTCTCTGGCTTGGTAAGGACAAGCTTTCTCTTCCTCCTCCACCTCTTCCTCCTGCTCCTCCTCTTCTTTCCCTCCTCTTCCTCCACCTTCTCCTTTGATTCTGAGGATTGAACACTTTTTACATTTTTATTTTTTGAAACAAACTCTCACTAAGTTGCAAAGTTCCCCAGGCTGAACCTGAACCTGTGATCCTCCTGCCTTGGCTTTCCAGAGTGTTGGGATTCCAGGTGTGAGCCACCAGGCCCGGCTTCTCCTAATTCTTTTTTTTTTTTGGTTTTTCTCCGGTGCCGGGAACCGAACTCACGACCTTGCACTTGCCAGGCAGGCGCTTTTGCCGCTGAGCTAAATCCCCAGCCCCTCTCCTAATTCTTAAGTAGCTTTCTACCCTAACACTTGTTGGAAATATATTTTAAAAGAAATATCCCAAAAGAAATTCCCACTGACATTTTAATTTTTTCAGGTCAGCAAATAAAGTTTTGTAGAAAGACTGTCTGCACAGTGCTTCTCCAAGGAAGTCCATTTCTTACTGGGAAATATTCCGCCTTTATATCTCCATATCATTTGTAGCTTATTGGGGGAAAAGCTAGTTCATTCAAATTCAAGTAATTTATAAGAATGGAATCCCTTTTCCTTTAAATTGGACATATTGCTATATTTCATCTAGATTTCATGGCAGTCTTCATCTGTGTAATCACTGTTGGTTTTTGAAACTAAGTGAAAAACTGAGATGGAGCCGGGGTAAGTAGTGTGGAGGGTGACATTCAAGACAGTGTGACATTTCTGAAATAATAAGAGTTTGGTGTATTGGAGGAATGGCTGGGAGGTCAGAGCATAGTCAGTGAGAGGATGACTGTAGGAAGTGAGATTTGATCTAGAATGGGTTCTAGGACAGGAGGTATAGCCATTTTAAGACTTTGGAAGCCATGGTTAGCACAGTAGATCTTTCTCTGAGGAGCCTGGTAAATTATTTGTTCTTCCCATCATTCTTTCTGCCCAAGGCAAGGAAAGAAGGGACAGTATCTCTCTCTGACCAAATTTAGGTGGACTCCTTTAAGTCCTCCTCCAAAGTAGATCTTGGCTTTTGGATTTCCCTGTTTTTGCATTGCCTAATTATAGCAAGAGTCCTGTCACGCTGGTTTAGCCACTCTCCCCCATCTTGCATATCTGATTATCCTAGATTATCTGGTAGGGTTTCTCATCATTCATCATCTTTCAGGTGAAGTCTAGTCATCCTGGCCTGCCTTCAGCAAGAATCCTATTACATAGAATTAGCCAGAATTTTTCCTTTTCCTGATAGTTTCTCTTAATAGTTTTCTATCCACCTATCCCTACATCCCTGCACCTTGATGATGCATTCTCATTGTTCATTACTTTATTTGGAATTTGAATTCCCACTTTTCCTTGTTTTATTTGGAGTTATGTCAATCTCTATCCCCTACTACAAAATCCCATCATGGTAGTTTCCATAGCTATTGTGATAGTGCTGAGTAAAGTCTGCCTTACCATTTTAACAAGCATCATGTGTTTGTCTCTAACAAGAGGATCCCCTTTAAGCTCAAGGATAAACCCTCCATCTTGACTGTGAACTTCACATATTCTTTGTTTTGTGAATTGTCTTCACTGGTAGATTGACTCTTGTTATTTAATTATTACTGTGTTGAACTTTCTCCACATATTTTAATCATGCTCAGCTATTTTTCATCTTAAAGATGTTTTCCCTTGACTATCATTTCATTGTTTAGCTGATATTTTATTTTGTTCTACACCTTCATAACTAAATTTCTTAAAAAAAGAATGTTTCCTTTTTCTACTTCATTTCCCATTCATTATATGAATTACCACAGTCTGTTATCCACAGTAGTTAGCCCACCAAAATAACTGTTGTTAACTTCACATACCACCATTGAATCACCAAAGTCAATAACCCATTTCCATACTTTTCATACTTGTACCTTTCATTAACCAGTCCTTCTACCTTGAGATGCTCTATCTTCCCCAAACTATTTTTTCTTTCTCGTATTTCTGTTATTTTTTTGCTAATTCCTATTTCTCTCTG